AAATGAAAGGGCAAACTTCAAATGAGCCTCATACTCCTGTGATAAAATAATCAATTTCTCTTATAGTGAGATGTGAATAGCCAACTCCCCTTGCTTTTTTGTTCTTTGCAGGTTGAAAGCTGCTAAGAGTAAGAAATCGCCTTTCTTCTACTCTGGAAGACATGATTTCCAGGAAAGTGGTGGGACCTCTTGTCTGCCTGTTTGCTGTTACTGCATTCATCTGGTAAGCGTTTGCTGGCAAGCTTGGTCATACTTAAAACATCCTGTCTATATGCAGTAGTAAAAAGCGTAGTAGCAGAAAAATACAGGCAGTGCATTTTCTGGACAGTTCCTGTTAGAGCTGTAAGAAAGAACAGTAATTCATATAATAGGTAAAGTAACACGAGCAGAGGGGGAAGCCTCTGAAGGGTGAGTGAAAAAAAGATCGGTTATGTCTAAGTTAGGCTGCTAACACCATATCTGACTCACACAAATGTTCAAGTACAAGAATATGTCGGTTACATTTTAGTTCAGGCCTTAAGAGAAATTATTATCTGTTTCTTCAGTTGAAACTCGCTTCAGTGTAACAAGGGATAGCTTTGTAGCTATCAGATGCAGTTGCTTTCAAACACTGAGAGTATTTGTAGCCTTTATTACACTTACTGAGTATGCCTCAGATCATCTTCAGCAAACTCAGACATTGTTTGAAAGGAATATGAGATATTTCTATTAACTATCTATTATCATCAATAATACTTGTACTATATTTCTCATGTTGCAATTTGCTCTTATTTCCCATTGTGGGTAGTTGCATTTTATGAGTAGTTAAGGGATTGGCTGTAAAAATCTTTATAGATTGTTATCAAAACTGAAGGGAGAATAGAGCCTGTGCAGCCTATTTATCTCCTACGCAAACTGGACGACGCACACACAGCATCTGACGTTCCCAGGAATGTCACTATGTCACATCAGTGTATATTCCGTATTTTCCCATTGCCTTATGTGTCTCCGTTTGTGTACACTTTTCAAAAATGTGTAAACCTACATTTTGTAAACCACTTGATGCAAATAATAATACTTAGACCCGATGTTACAAGCTCGAAGCTTCTGGACTAGTTTTGTCCTGATGTTCCTGTTTATGCCTTAGCAGCAGCAATATATTCTGTTAAAATGTGAATACACTGGATCCCACACTAATTAGCGATAAGCAGTTAGCTGCAGTTGAATCTCAAAATCTGTGCCAGATTCAGAGAAGATCTTGGAAAATCCTGGGAAGATATCTTTCGACATTACCTATCTTAGAATGTTTCCTTGCTATCACAGGATTGCGGTTGGGAATGGAAAAGTGCACTACCTCCCATATTACCTCCCTTGCCCCGAAATCTTGTAAGTATCCCATTTTATGTGTAGTGAATAACATGAGTCATTGTTACAGGAATTGTACTTCACTGACAGTATAAGTGGTTGTCAACAAGTAGTCACTTGTTCTTTATTTTATGAATCTGTAATTAGACACTGTCTTAAAACAAAAAGGTAATAATGCAACCTTTACTTTAGTTGGCCCAGCCTTCAGGCCAGCTCTGTTTGTGCAGCATGAGTGAGGCCTTGTTAGTTGTGGGTCACAGGGACAGTGACTAACAGGTTAACATTGACTTTATTATGAGGATGTAATCACACCTGTGCACATGTACACACAGGATCTCCCTGGGCTTTGAGATGTGGATTAAGTATCTCAGCTCGCTAGATGGAGAAACATAAGACAGAGAGTTGAAATGAACAATCACATCAGGAGTTCTGGCAGAGTTAGGAATAACCTCCCAGTCTCCTGACCACCTACCTCTTCTTCACTCTGTGATCTGTGCTTTCCTCTCACTTAATGAATGTTGGTGTTATGGCAGCACTAGAGTCGTGGATCAGCAGCTTGGTCTGAACAAAACGAAAGGGTAGCTGCTTCTCCAGGAACCTTACTGTTTAAGGGGTCAGCTTCACTGTGTGATGCAGACTAACGTACGGTTAACTGACTCATTATGGATCCCAAAAGTTATCTTGAAGTTGCATAAAAGAGAATTTACCCTGTGGAAGAGCAGGGCACATGGCTGAAGTGACAAGTGACTTACTGCCGTATTGGCCTGTAGGCGTAAGATGACAAGCCACAGCTTTCCTCTTCTTTGTCATGACCTACTAAGCTTGTAAAAAGCAAAACAAAAAATGCGAATGGAAAAGGTGATCTCTTACAGAGCCATTTCTGATTATTTCAAGCCATTAAAAAACATCACGTTTAATAAGATGCTTATTTCTCTGAATGCTGTTTGAAGTGTGATACATTTCAGATAGTTCAGCCCTCCAGAGCAGTGTGCACAGCAACTGGAGTGAGGACTTGGACAGCTGTCAGTACAGCAGCAGGTCCTGAAGCTGAACCAGGTTTGTATTTTAGGAAAAGCATTACAATCCCTTTCTTTTCCCATCCCATCGTGCAGCTCCATTAAACTCCAATACACAGAAGAGAAGCTAATTCGACTTTTCCCCCAGTAAGTGCTGGCTTTTTATTCCTAACCTTTGAATTGCTGTACCTCTCTTCCA